ACCTCAGGGAACCAGTGATTTCTGGTCCTGAAGACCTGTGGTCACTAGAGCCTTGTAAACGATTTCCGTTATTATTAAAAGCCTACTAACACTGTATAATATTTACATAAGCATTATATGTACCTGTAGTGACAAAGTAAGAGGTTGAGTCTCTAGAGTCTGAAGATGGGCTGGGAGGAGGGGCTCCTGTGGGCAGGCTATAGCAGGACTAAGAGTAAATTTGGAAAGACTGGAATGGAGAACAGGAAGGACAGTAAAGGTCACCTACATTTATTGATATGATATGAGAGGCTTCCCTAGTTAGTCTGTGGTTGGCATTATATGTGTTTCTAGTGACAAAGTAAAGAAAAATAAAAACTATACCATTTATTTAGACATTGGAATTCTTGTTCTAGTTCTAGAAAAATTATATGAGTTTACATTTGTTTGACTGATTAAAGTACATTTAAAATAATACATCTCCTTGATTATTAGTGAGTACAATCTTTTTCCTATGTATATTGTCCCTTTGGTTTTCCCCTCTTATTTGTGATTTCTTTGTGTTGTCAATGTCCTAGAGTAGGCCTACTCCTGTGCTAGACTCATCTGTTGGAGAGCCGTTAGCATGATAAAGCATTGTTTCTGTATGGGCAAGCTGAACACATTTTCAAGAGGGTAAAGTCTAGATAATACCTTCTGTTGTTGTATATGTAGTTGGTTAAAATACTTGTATGAGGAGCCAGGAGCTGGAAGCTAAGATTGCCGGCACGCCATCAGGTGGAGGCTGAGTGGCAGCTCTGAGTAATGTTGTCCCTTGGTTTTTCTGTACAGAGTTTTGCCGAATTGACAAGCCCCTGTGCCACAGCGAGGATGAGAAGCTCAGCTTTGAGGCTGTCCGCAACATCCATAAGCTGATGGATGATGATGCCAATGGTGATGTGGATGTGGAAGAAAGTGATGAGGTAAGCTTTCTACCTCCCCTGGCTCTTCTCTTTGTGTGAAGCTATTCCTGAGGGCTGCCTGGACTAACCTATGTGAAGAGGTGGTCTCCCAGCAGGTGGGATGACGCCCAGCAGAGCAGAGCTGACTGGTGAATAGCACAACACTCACTTAACTGTTTGGGAGGAAAGGGAGTCCTCAGATGGTCTCTACACTTTCCCTGGATTTTAATGTAATCATGCTATGGAAAGAAAATGGTAACCTGTATTCAGCCTTCTGTTGGCATGTAAGAGAGCAGGCAAATAGTCAGATCCCACCTTCTGGGGTTTTATGTTCTTACTTGGGAGGAAGAAGCAATTTTTAGGATGGTCAGTCTATCTTTAAAGATGCAGTTTATGGGAGCCAGTTAATAAGAACTAGAGAAAAAAACTCTTAAAAAAAAAATAGACAAAAAGAGCCATCTTACTGTTGTACTTTTTGGCTTTACTATAGTTGCAGGTCAACAGAGCCCAGAGTAAAAGATCATCATGTAGGAAAGATTTAAAGGTTTCTTATTTCAAGCTCAACATAAACCAGCAGTTTGTTGAACCTACCAGGCCATGCTAAATATTCATTAGTGACATAGATTACATTATGGAAGAGAAGCCTCGTCTCTTTTCCTTGTAAGTAATCTACCTTTGAGTTTTGTGTCCAGTTGTGGATGACATTCTCCTCATCAGGAGAATTTAGAGACTATACAGAGAGGAATGATATGGATGATAAGGACTGTAAACTTAGCCAGTAGCATCTGACACAATTATTTAGAATTAAATGTCTGTTTTCCCCATTCATCGTGCTAGGTATGGAGTAGGGTGGTAAATAAGACAGATTCTTGTCTTACATAGTTTACAGGCTGGTGAAGAAACTGCAGAGACTTTAGTTTCTGGTTATTGTGGCAAAATATCTGAGAAAACTAACTTAAGGAAGGAAGGATTTGTTGTAGCTCACTGTTTCAGGACATGTAGTATATGCTCAGTTCCCTTGTTTCGGGCTCGTAGTTAGGCAGACTAATCATTTCAGGGAGCACGTGACAGAGCGGAGCTCTTCACATCATGGAACTAGAGAGCAGAGAGAACAGAAGGGTCTTAGAACAAGATATATCTTCCCAGGATATACTCACACACACCAATCTATTTTCTGCAACTTGCCCACCTCTTAATATTACCATCATATTATTAATCTGCTAGAGGATTAATCCCTTGACAGTCCAGAGTCTTTTCTAATTAATCACTTCTCAATGACAAGATTGGCCAGTTGGGCCCACACCTTCAACATAACAATCTTTTAGGGTGTGTATCAAAACCCTGACATCGAAGTAATGTTTTTTACCTCAAGTACAGCAGGAGTTGAGAAATCAGATTTTGAAAATGACAGATTGGCTGAGTACTGTGCATATTCCTATGAACCCAGCACGCTGGGTGTGGAGGCAAGAGGATCAGATCATGGCTGGCCTAGGCACATTTGACTTTCTCTAAAGCAAATGATAATGGAAACTATGGAACCTGTTGTCATTGGTTGAGCTCTTACTCTTTTTTTTTTTTAAGTTCTTTGTATAGTTAGTTACTCATTTAATTTTCTTAACAGCCTTCAGAAGTTGGCTTATTATTAGGGGCCGAGATGTTAGAAAGTTTAAATATTTGCTTACATATTTGAGCCTATATCTGATTTCAAAGCCCATGCTCTTACATATTATATTGTTTCCTTGATCTTAAGTGCAGAACAGGACCAATGTAGGAATATTAAAAGCCAGGTATATTCTTATGGAATAAAGAATTGCCTAATAGAGATATTTTGTTATAGAGGAGACTGCCTTCTTAAATATTAAATGCCCTGTCACAGGGTAAGTAGAAAGCAGCATTCTAGTAATTGATAGGTAGAAGGGATTCTCTAGTAATGATCAATAATGTCTAAAGAATTCAAGGAGGAAGAAAGCTGGAATTCGAATAGAATGGAAGTGGTAGGGTTACCTGAGCTGTGGAGAACCACAGCGAGAAAGGTACAGATGTAGTAAGAATTCAGAAGCACAGTGGATTGGTTGGTTAAACAAAGGAATCATAGTAGAAAACCACTGAACTAAAAATTGGTAGGGAAAATGGGGTCCAGAAAACTAGGCTGAAATACTGTATTTATTGAATCTGTCAATTAAAAGCTAAACAGGCCCAATAACTATGGTCAAGGTATCAACCTTTTTATTCTTATCCATACATATTTACTGGCCTTCAGAGGACCAAATAAATAAATAGAGCCATGTTCCTGGTAGGGAATGAGGCCTAGACATATCCTGTCCTAGACATTTCATTGTCCTAGCGTTGTCTGAAGACTAGAGAATGGACAGCTCAAGAACCGAGAAAGTGGTTTAGTAAGGGCTAGAGAGATGGTTTAGAGGTTAAGAGCTCTTGTTGCTCTTACAGAGGACTCGGGTTTGGTTCTAAGCACCCAAATGAGGGCTTACAACTGTATGTAACTCCAGTTTCAGGGTATCCAAAACCCTTCTAACTGCCACTGGCACAGTGCAGGGAAAATAAATATTCATACACATAAAATAAATCTTTTTTAAAAAAGTGATATACCAGCAGTTGGAAGGCAGAAGCAGGGGGATCGCTGTGAGTTTGAGGTCAGCCTGGTCTAAAGAGTGAGACCCTGTCTTTAAAAAAACAAAAACAAAAACAAAAAAAGGTGATATAATCCAAGATCTGCAAATATCTGGATATGTTTGTCAATGCCCCTCATTTTTTACATTTTGTTGAATTGCTTTGTCAAAGAGGGAAGGAAGAAAATGTTCTCTTCAGAGGAATGTTACCACAGCCGAAATCTCATCAGCACAAACTGTTCTAAAATAACACAAAAGCTGTTACCCTACTTTCTCTGCACCAGTGGTGAGATGTCCTTTTTCAGCATAGCTTCTGCTTTGCCTGGGCTACCTCTCTCCTCGCTGTGATCTCAGGCCCGTGGGGTTAGAGAGGCCCACTAGTGTGCATTTTCACGGCTACTCATCACCTGAGCTCTAGAGTGAGAGACTAGTCAAATGTGTGCGCTTCAGTTGGTCTGAATGTGTGAGACAGAACTGGAGTTCATGATGTAGCTAGAAAATTGGGTAGATTTAACAGGGCTTAGGTAACGGTTGTAAGGTACTGTGGAAAAATTCTGGCTGCACTGGGTGGCGAGCACACTCCGGCCAGTCCCTGAGCGGGGTGCCGGCAGGGCAGATCATGCTGGAGACTTTGTTTTCAGTTTAACAAGAGCACTTTAATAATATCGTTCGAGCTAACACACATCCAGTCACTACGAGCCAAAACATAGCATGCCCGTAGCGGGGAACCTCTCCTGGACTCACGGAATCTCGGTCGTGGCTGACGACGGCCCGCAGATACGGACTCACTTCCTGTCCTCTGGGATTCCGGGCTCGGGCAGCTCTGGTGTTGGTGAGAATTCGGCCGCGCAGATAAGCAAGCTTGTCGAGACGTTCCCAACAGCTCTCCTCAGGGCGTCAGCATATTCCGCTGCTCAAGCAAGAGTGACTAAAGGGGGCGGGGGGGGGCTTCTTCGTTTGGTCCGAGCTTTGGGCTTTTGTACCTTTTATTTTTAAGCATGTCATCACTCTATTGTATCACTCCCCCTTATCTGTCTGAGCCGGCTGCTCTCTGGCCTTCTCTGCTAATCTCCTACACGCGTGCTTATCGGCACACAGTGTTTACACTCTCACTACACACTGGCAGCCAGAGACCTCAGATTTTTTGTGACCCCTCTAAAGGTCTTGTTCAGCACCCAGGAACCTCTACAGAAGCCTTAAGGGATATACTCTTAAAATCTCATTTGAGCCAGGTGTGGTGTCACAGGCCTGTGATCCCAGCTACTTGGGAAGCTGAGGAAGGAAGATTGCAAGTTCAAGGACTGCCTGGGCGTACAGAGGTTAGAGGCAGTCGAAGTAATTTAATGAGTGAAAAACGGTAAAAGAGATTGTGATATGTATCACAGTGGTACTTTGCATAGTATGTGTGAAGCCCTAGGTTTATCCCTAGTATACCTTCTTTTCCAAAGCCTAATTTTTTTTTTCATGGTAAAGACTGTTTATTGGTGGCAGTTAGTACACATCAATAAATATTGATTCCCAAGAGCTCAGTTACTCATCAGATGCCTGGTCCATCAAGCACTGGATACAACTGAACCATATGAGACTGGGATGAAGTCAGTTCTGCTTCTTGGGAAATGCAGCCATAGCTAACTCATAGATGGCATAAGCTGTTCCACCGACTGTCAGAAACATTGTGAATCTGTAGAGGAGGGCATCAGAAGGCCCGCCCTTCAGATGCACTGGGATCCCATTATCCTCCTGAAACAGCTTTTGTTTCTCTGGAACTTTGTTTTCAAAATGCCTTCGTGAAGTGGTGCTGATGGTCCTCCGGGCGATCTGACGAAGAGCAAGCAAATTCCGCAACATCTTGGCTCAGTTGCAGCCCACCAACTGCGACTGCTGAACACCCAACACACCAGGCAGGAAACGGAACTCTCCAAAGCCTAATTTATTCTGCCTCATATTGATAAGTTTTTCAGATAACTGAAGTGAACTGAAAGACCTGCCTCAGTGCTAAATTAAAAAAAAAAAAAAAAAAAAAAGCTGTTTTGGCCTTACATGAATGCTACATAAGTGCTCTGCCACTGAGTTGCATTCCCCGACTCACTTTGCTGTGCGTTTTGTTGAGATATAAGCCTGGAGCTTGTTTTGTAGTCTAGACTGACCTCAAACTCAGAACTCCCTTCACAGACCTGGAATCACAGACCTGGCAGTGATGGTTTCCTAGTAAATCAGGGGTTTTACTAAGCTAGCAATGTGTGAACTCCTAAGCTGACAGTGAAACTGTCTATGGGCAGGGTTTGGTGGGAGTCTGAAAACAGACTTACTTAGAGAAGACTCTTTAAAGCCTCTTCTTGTGGTGCTTCAGTGTATGTGTATTCACTTACCGTGATGTGTGTGTGAGTCAGGGAACAGTTTGTAGGGTTGGTTCTCTCCTTCCATCCTTTGACTCTAAGGAGTTGAACTCAGGCCATCAGAGTGGTGACCTCTGAGTTATCTTACTTGGTCCTTTGTTTTGTTTCGTTTTTCAGGCAGGGTTTTATGTGTCCCAAGCTGGCCTCTAGCCTCAAAGTCACATTACACAACAAACAGGAGATTTATTGGGAAAGACAGGAGAGGGTGGCTTGACTCTGCTTGGAAGAGAAGCAGCAAAGAACTGAGTGGGAGGAAGCCCTTTGGCTGTCCTGGACTTGCCCTGTAGACAGATTGGCCTCAGACTCACAGAGATCTGCCTGCTTCTGCCTCTGCTGGCATTTACTTATCTTTATTTTAGGTACATGGTGTTCTGCCTGCTTGTATGTGTATGTAAGGATGTCAGATCCCCTGGAACTGGAGTTATAGACAGTTGTGAGCTGCCATATGGGTGCTGGAAACTGAACCCATGTCTTCTGGAAGGCCAGTCAGTGCTCTTAACCATTTAGCCACCTCTCCAGCCCCCTTTATATGAGGTTTCTGGGTAGGGGCTTTCCAGGGTGGCCAGGGATTGGTGGGATTTTGTGGCCTGATCTTGGACTTTTTTTTTTTTCTCTGTAGGGAGGAGTTTGGCCACCTGAATCTCAATGGAAACAGCCATTACAGGGATTAGAGTAGTGGCAGGTGCTGCCCCTCCTGCCTTTAGGTGCTTACAAAGGATTTGCATTTAACTCAAACTCATTGAAATCACTCAAACTCATGGAAACCACTAACTGAAGCAGGCCTCAAATTTGTGATTCTCCTGCCTCAGCTTCTTGAGTGCTGGGATTACAAATGTCTATCACCATAAAAAAAAAAAAAAAAAAAAATGAAGTCTGTTGTAAATAACAGATAAATCTTAAGAGCATTATGCTGAGTGGAAGAAACCAGTCTAGAAAATTATATGTGAGAATTTTGGCATGGTGGTGCATGTCTGTGATTCTGATACTTCTTGGAAAGCAGAGGCCGAGGCAGAAGGATTGCTACAAGCTCAAGACCACTCTCATCTACATAGTGAAATTATAGTAAGCCAGGGCTCTAGTAAGATCCTGTATTAATCATAGTGAATCTATTTCTATGACACTCTGAGAAGAGCAAAACTCTAAGGCTGTAAAGTAGATCAGTGGCAGTTAGGGGTTGTGAGTATGGGGAAAATTTTATAGCAAAGGTTGGTATTATGGAATTTTAGGGTATAATAGAATTGTTCTGTGTTCACCCAGGGTGTAAAGGTCATTATACAAGTCTAAATATATATTACAATTCATAGGGCTATCCATAAACTCAAAAAAACTTAATCTAGTCATGTTAAATTAAAAAAGAAAAAAGGTTTCCCTGCATCCTTTTAGCCTTAACTAGAGACACTTCTCTTTGCAGTGGTGAATGCAGAGATGGATGGGTGCTCAAGTACTGGGAATAAGTGATGGCTGGGTGCTCAGCTCTGAACAGGACATTTACATGATTCCTTCTAAGGCTTGAAGATTGTTGTGGAAGCGGGGGAGGTGGGTGTAAGAGCCAGTAGGTCAGAAGAAGGGCTATAAAATGCTGTTTTCTGGGCTGGGCATCGCCACTGAGGTCATGACCTCACAGTTGCTACGACTGCCTATAGTGGGCCTGAGAGAGGACTTCATGGGTAAAGGCACTTGTAAAGACTGCGTAAGCCTGGCAACCTGAATTCTGTTCCTGGAACCCCATAATGGTGGAAAGAGAGACTGGCTTTATGAAGTTGTCCTCTGACCTCTAAACACAAGCTGTGTCTATTCACAGTGTGGCACCTCACCCCCCCACATGCGTGCGGGTGTGCACACACACGCACACACACACACACACACACACACACACAATGATAAAGAAGGAGAATGAGGAGGAGGAGGAAGAGGAGGAGAAGATGACAGTAATGATTATGACAACAACAGGACTTTATCTATAGTTATTTGTGGGTCAGAGAAGACTTCATGGCCAGGTGCGCTGATACACACCTGTAATCCCAGCACTCAGGAGATGAAGGCAGGGGTCTACAAAATAGAGTCCAGGACAGCCAGGGCTACATGGAGAAACCCTGTCTGAAACAAACAAACAAACAAACAAACAAACAAACAGAAAGACCTCATGACCTCATGAACTGCTGGCTACAGGTGGATTCTGGAGGAGAGGCGGTCATTGTTTCAGCGTGTACTCACGGAGGAGTTCACCAGGCACCAATGGAGAGTTCCAAACTCATGGCCACACAGACGATCTTGGTTAAACTCAGTGGGTCTAACAAACAAAATAAACAAAAAATTTGAATGTGGGAAAGGAATTTGGGAGGAGGGGGTATGAGGAAGATTAGAGTAATGGTTTTCAGTAATCAAAATTTGCTTCATACATGTATGAAACTGTCTTTGCCAGAGTGGTTGATGGTAAAGAAGCAGGCATAACAGCACAAGGGCATGCATTTCTGGGGGTTACTGCTTCTCTAGAGACCCATAGCCAACATCTGTATATTTCTAAAAAGGTCTGCCTTCAATAAAAGATCTGAATGACCTAAATTTTTCTGTCTGCATTCAGAAGGATAGAGTTGCTTAGACCATAAAGACATACTATAACACAGCTAGAGACATATGTGGACTTTGACAGAACAGAAGCAAACCTCTTGGGACTGGAGAGATGGCTCACTGGCTAAGAACATTGGTTGTCTTTCCAGAGAGCCTGGGTTTAATTTTCAGAATCCACATGGCAGTTTAAAAGCCTCTGGATGGTAAGTCATAGTAGGCCGTGAGTACTGAAGAATGTTGGAAGCTGCTACCAGATATTTGGGCTGGGGAACCAAACCTTGAAGGCAAAGATCTGCAAGAGCATTTGCAATAATCCAAAGGGCAAGCAGAGATTTGGACTTGGGAAGAAGTGTGTAGGGAGAGAAGAGGAAGCTCAGTGCAGTCAGTATGGCTAATTTGGGGGAAGCAGAGTTAGACATAAAATGATTACTAATAATTGATATTCCTCTTCAGGTTTTGTGTCTCATTTCCTTATAGCCAGATAACTGTAGAAAACCTCGTCCTGTCACTAGTCTCTTCCTCACTAACTCCTACTGCTTTGGTTCTGTCTCCTGTGTGAGCTCTTCCTGTTTCTTCTGACTTCTTGTGCCTAAGATTCCATCCCTTCAGATCTGGCCTTAGCTGCTACTGGATGGATTCTCCAGACACACCTCCTGACGCTTTGGTCTGGCTCTGCTCTTATTTGCGTCTGAACATTTCAGACGACTTCTAGGCCCCTTTTCTTCAGAAGTGTTCATCCAGCACCCCTTTGTGCTGTGCTAGCTCTTCTTTGGAATGAGCCAACCACTCACACAAAGACTGAGAACTTCCTTTACTGTGCCAGCCTCAACAAGTCAGCCACACTGCTGAATGGTGTGGTGTCATGGTATGACGAGATGGCTAATTTGTTGGTGGTGGTGATGGTTGTTGTTTTGTGTGTTTTGGTGCGGGGGATTGTTACATCCATGGCCTTGCTACGCCAGGCAATTGCTCTAGTACTAACCCAAATCCCCAGAACCTAATTTGGAATTCTTGCTGTGCAGGCCAGCTCTCACTAACTGTACCATCACATTAGAAAAGGGAGAAAGAAAAAAAAAAAAACCAACCTAAACATGTGGTTCCTATTGTGCGCCAGGTATCGTACTTGTGGCTTTGTATACATTAAAATCTGATGGAAATCCTAAAAATAGTTATTCTCTTTATTTAGCTCATGAAAATATGCCTTCTAAATATAATTTTTTTTTTTGCTTAAGGTCACATTGCCAGTAAGTGGCAAGGCTAAATTTGAAAATAGGCCTATTTATATTTATTCTTTCTAGTAATATTAATAATAATAGTAATAGCAATAACAACAACAACAAAAACTTACAGTGAGCCCAGTCTGTGTGCCTGGCATTAGACTAGGTGCTTTCTATGCATTAGTTATTTAATCCTTGCACAGACTTCGTAAGTTACCTACCAATTGCTAATGAAGAAAGAGGCCGATAAGGGCTATAATTTTCAGTTTCTAAAGGGGGAAAGTCAGGTCTCTTTTTTTTTTTTGGCTCCAGATAAGTAGTCTTAACCCAGAAAACTATAACAACTCCCACCACCAACACAACCACTACCTTCTCTTTCTTCTCCTCATCCTTTCATATACTGGCTGTGCTGGGTAGTTTATGTTAACTTGACACAAACTGGAGTCATCTGAGGAGGAAATCTCCATTAAGAAAATGCCTCCACCAGACCCAGCTGTCAGGCATTTTCTCAATTCCTGGTCAGTGTGGGAGGGCCCAGCCTACTGTAGGTGGGCCCGCCCCTGGGCTGGATCCTGGATTCTATAGGAAAGCAGGCGAGCCCTGGGGAGCAAACTTCTCCACTGGCTGCATCACCTCTGCTTCCGGTCCCTGCCCTGGTTGCGTCCCTGCCCTGACTGTTTTCAGTGATGGACCACAGTGTGGAAGTGTGAGCCCAATCAGCCCTTTCCTCCCCACCTCTTCTTGGTCA